TGTGATCCATTGAAATTCAATGAGTGGTGTATGGTGTTTAAATCGTAATCAAAAATCTGTGCGTACTCAGCTGGGTGTGCTAACAACTCATTCTGTAAATCTAAGCGGATTTGACGCCAATTATCTTCACTATAACCGAGACACGCAGCTATTGCACGAAATCCACAATTTCCATCTCCCCTCACGTTTTGTATGTTTGTGACATATGGATGAAATTCATACGGAATTTCATTCATAAGTGGATCTGAATTATACATTACTTGTTCTTGGTTGAAGTACGAGCTATGCATCGATTGTTCCTGATTAAAAGTTGAGTTGAACATTGGAGGTTCTCGGAACGAGTACGTACTGTGCCTATCCGGCTCCTGGTTTAGATCAAACAAATTAGACCGCATATAATCAGGCGTATAAGTAGAAATGCTACGTCGAGACGGATATTGAGTTGGTGGCGCTTGAGTCGGTTGATCTTGAGGTGGTGGATGTTGAGTTGGTGGGTCGTGGTTTAAATCGATATGGGTTTTCTTGAAAAGTTTCTTCTTTAAGGAGGGGCGCCCACGAGTATTTTTGTGAGTAGCAGGTTCAGAAACTGAAGTTGTTGACGGCGTGATTAAGTTTAGTAACTTCCTTGCTAAACTTAACTTAACAGGTCTTGATTGTTTTTCGTAATGAGCATTAAACATATTTACCTCAACTGCACAACCCAATTTATCATCTTCTAACGATTTGCATTCTAATAAATCAAGTTTCTTCCAAAACTTATCTACTGAATGAAGCGGTACACAATGACCTTTTTTAACAAATATAGCTTGTTCATGCGCACATGGCAGCCCATAACTTGTACGTACTTGACATCCACAATTTTCATAAACAAATCCAAATTCTTTGGACCGCTCATATTCTTTGAAAATGATATCAAGTGCATAAATTGAAACGAAACGACACAATGGTTTTAGATGTGGTATTTCGTAGTACCGATGTACAATGAAAATTTTGTTATGCGCAAGACTCGCTTTTATACCTGTGTATTGTGACTCAACAACATCAGCAATACGCTTCAATGATTTGGCGATATCTGATCTTGATGTTTCGACATATCTTTTTAACTTGGCATGTTGACTTTCAGCTCTATTAGTTGTGTGATTGCCAAAGTTAAGAAACTTATCGGTCCATGCAGACACAAACTTTTCTTTGTGTGGTGTCAACCATGTTTTGTTTAGATAAGAAAATGCATCTGAAATACATAAAAAATTTCAGTTGATGTAATGATTTATAACATATTATAGTGTATATTTAAAAATACCTGGATAATTGTTCGTAGTTTTTTCAACTTGTGCCAAATTCTTGTTGTATGCTTCCTTTGTTTCAGAGTTAACCAACCTCGTCCATGACGTATAAAGAACATCCCAACATGATTTGCATTTCTTCATGATATTGTTATTTATATGCCATCTGCAAAGTAATCCTTTAGCATCTGGAAATATAATAGTGTATGCGTTCATGAGAGCCATTTCTCTATCAGTCACAATAACACGCGGCAACATACATCCTTCCATTACCGATTTTAGACAGTCTAAAGCCCAAACATAGTTGGATTGTTTTTCTTCATGCATGTACACAAATGCAATGGAAAATGTCATATTTGTTGGAGTTACACCAACAATCTCCAATAGAGGCATCCCGTACTTGTTTGTTTTATATGTTGCATCCATTAACAAGACATGTGGAAATGCACGCCATATTTCTAATGATCTTGGATGAGCAAAGAATAAATCTTCTAACTTATTTGTCAAAACATTTGCACGACTATAATAAACATATCCATTTTGATCTAGAAATTCCATAACACCTTGCATTTGAGTTTTACCTTCTCTCTCCCTACGTCGAAGTTTTTCGTCTGCATTGTAGATAGTTTTGAGAGTAGATACATTTTTCGGATTTAGGTTTTTTAGTGCAGATAATATATCTTTTGGTTTGACATTTTTTTTCAACAAATCTTCCACTATTCGACATTCATATTCAGTTAGTCGTCGTGGATAAGGATGACCTTCTAAATATAATGACGGCTCATGGTTATGAAATTCACATATCATTTTTATCTTCCAAGAATTATCTACTGACGAATATTTACCCTGTAGGCTAAATGGACAATTAATTTTTTTTGTCCCTGTTTTTTTTTTGGAGATTTGTGTACTTTTGTATGTACCTCCACGGTCACATTGAAATACAACATTAAAGTTACGTTTAGAATTTTTTATGACGATGACATAACCTAAAGTATTTGCCATATTTTGCACCCAATCCATCAATTCTTGACGAGAATTGAACACCTGACAATTATATTATTATCAGTAGCAGACAAATCCACTTGATGCTTACATTACAGTAACAACATACTAATGAATTTATACCTTATTTGTTTTGAAGGGTGACGTGTCATCAAAGAAATAACGACTTTCGTTCAAACTTTCATTTTCATATGTTTCATTTGTGTCCATTGGATGAATATCCGTTTCGAATGGTGATGTGTCGTCGAAAAAATAGTTACTTTCATTGAAGCTATTATTTTCATCTATTTCATTTGTCTCCATTGGATGAATATCATCTCTCTAAACATAACAAAGAGAAAAAAATATATAATAATAATAATAATAATAATAACAATAATAATAATAATAATAATAATAATAATAAGAAAGGTTAAGTACAAATACCTCATAATATGTGTCACCCATCCATTCTTTCCAACTTGTCATTTAATAAAATCTATATTTTTAACAAATATCATATATTTGCTTTTAAGGAAAGTTACTTTCAGCAAGTCGCTTTCAATGTACCATATAAGAAATACGAATCCTCTATATATAGAAAGAAATTGTAACCAAATTTTTATTTTTATCCCTTCTATTTTTGTTAATGTTTCATAGTTTATATTTCTTATTTAACAAATTAATTTTTTTCTATTAATATTTAATAATATTCATTATTACTTTTTTTATAAATGTATTCATGAGATCATTTTAATTAAACAACTTTTATGAATAATTAATATGTTTCTACTTGTTAGTTTTCAAAATTAATAAAGTTTTAAGGGTTTAAGATTTAAATTGATAAAATCTAGGGTCTTTTCTAAAACTACAATGTAAACCGAAGGTATAAAATTGTAATATTATATTTTATCGATAAAATAATTCGGCACACATATTAATCGGCACACATATTTATCGATAAAATAATTCGGCACGCAATTCAATGCAACAAATACACGAAAAATTCGTGTATATAGGAGGACCCTGAGTTTTTAATATATTTTATCATTTTTCATTTAATGCCTCTTATTTTCTATTAAAGTAACAAAATCTACCTTCCACTTTCCACTTTCCACTTTATAGTTTTATTTTACTGTTTTGTTTATTGATTTGTTTTATTAACTAAACTTATTATATATATATATATATATATATATATATATATATATATATATATATACTAAAACACATGGTTATTATTATTATTATTTTCAACATTATCTCTTTTTAATGATTGAGAATTTTAAAGTGTTCAACACCAACTAAAAAATGTTTTATATATATATATATATATATATATATTATATATATATATATATATATATATCTATATATATATATTAAAATAAAAAATGATGATAAAGTATGATCATCCCCATCGAGGGTTTTATGATTAATAGGTTAAAAAGTGGTATTACAACATTGAATGGAATAAAAATGCATTATAGCTAGAATGTAATGAATGAGAAGTTCAATCCCCATTGAATCATGTATAACCAATAGTAAAAAATAATATATTTAAAATTAAAATTAATAATATAATAAAATATAATATAATTAATTAGGAAAACGTTAGAGTTATAAAACATAAAAAAAAAAAAATTATTGACTAATATATATTAAATGGTTTATAAAAACAAAAGAAAAAAAGTTTTCTAATATGATATATTTATACGGTGATGGTTGATAGAAAACAAATAGGAAAGAGTTATAAATTAAAATAAAACTTTTTTTTTAACCATATAACAAAAAATAATAAAGTTTAAAGTAAATACTATAAAACATTAAGGGTGTATTTTGAAAAATCTTTGCAAGTTGAGGGACAAATTAATTTTATCTTGTCAAATGTCATATCTGACCTTTATATACGAATCCTTCGTGCATATAGGAGTACCCAAATTTCCATCGTCAAAATCATTTATTCAAAATTGATGTGACGATGACATAACCTAAAGTATTTGCCACATTTTACACCCAATCCATCAATTCTTGAGGAGAATTGAACACCTGCCAATTATATTATTATCAGTAGCTAACAAATCCACTCGATGCTAACATTATTGTAACAATATACTAATGAATTTATACAATATCCGATTTGAATTGTGATGTGTCATCGAAAAAATAATTACTTTCATCTGCTTCATTTATGTCCATTGGATGGATATCCGTTTCGAACGGTGATGTGTCCAACCCTAAAGACTTAAGGTGCTTATATATGGTGCAACACCCTAAATTAGGGTTTCATTAGGTCACACGTAAGCTTCGTATGAGATTTCCTATTTTGATTTAACGGTTCTTTTGTCATTTTTAGGTTTTTCTAATACATATTAAATTATGATTAATTTTACTTAAATAATGGTTTTAGCAATGGGTTAAAAAAGTTATAAAATTGATTGATGTTAATAATATGAATTTTAAAAATAATAAAATATATTATTAACGTTTTGATGAAAAATAAATTTATTGAAAATGGTTAGAATACATACCTTAACATTTTAATTGATATTATTTTGAATATATATTTTTAAGATTTTTAGTATTTATTTTTATATGTGTATTTCATATAAAGTTGTTGAAATTAAAAAGAATAAAAATTAGAAGAGTTTGTTTTGTAACTTACATCTAATTGAAAGGGAATAAAAATGTAAAATATAAAAACAATTGAAAATAAAAAATCGAAAACAAATATGATGATGGGATTGATTGTCTACTGATTGCTTATACACGAATAAATTCGTGCTAATAGGAGCACCCATAAAATATTTATTTAAATCTCCGTTTGCCTTTTCCATCAGACATGCTGAAGGAGGTAACTTTCATGGGGGTCGCCACCACCAACGGTGCTTCCGGCGAGTCACTCACCGCCGCATATTTATCATGCATAAACCGACTCTCTATAATCGATTCATCCTTCGCCATAATCTTATAACAGTAACAGCTTTTCAAACCTTGCTGATTCTTGTAACATTCATGTCCACTGTCTTTCACTCGCTGGAAATCCCAAATCACACTGAAATTCCCCACCGTCGCCACCAGGTGCCGCTCTTGCTTCCCACTCTCCGTCACCTGAAAAAACCACAATCCACAGTCTTCATCACCCAAACCCACTTCATACAGAAGCTACAGTAACTAAAGAAAGAATACGAGCAAAAAAGAACCTACTTAGTACACTTACCCATGAAAACCGGCCACCGTGAAACTTATTCTGCTTTCCGGCAGTATGTGAATCCACCGGAGTTAGCTTCAACAACCTCGGAGCTGGGATTTTGCTCCCCATTCGACCACTGAACCCGGTTTTTGTCTTTCCATCTTTATCGGTGAAAAGAGTAGAGATTAGAATGAGATAAGTGTCAGTGGTGCCGAGTATCCATTTCCCATCATATGTCACATCAACGTGAGTGATTGGGGAACCGAGCCCTGGGAATGCAGTCTTCGCCTGTCTCATGGAGGTGGTGGAGTACAACCGGATCTTCCCGTCGATGGAGCCGACGACGATTGAACCATCGCCGGTGGTAGCAAAGCACTGGAAGTTCGTTCCTCTAGAGAATTGATGTCCTTTTGTCCAGTTTAAAACCGGGGAATCGGAATCTGCGATGTTTTGAACTACCCCTCTTCGATCTCTCATGTCCCATTGAGATAAAATGTTGTCGTTTAAACCCAAGAATGTGGAATCAGAAGGATTCAATTGTGAGCCCTTTGTGTCGTTTGTGATGTCTCTCATGTTGAGATCAGCTCCATCTTTTTCAAATTTCCATTCGGTGACGATCTTCCCTGTTTCTATATCCAGTTGGTTTACACCCGAGGAATGAGGTTTTCCCTCTTTCAATGGAGTCATGAGCAACATGTTGGTTTCGCCTTTCATTAACAGAGCCTTCTGAGGTGTTCGATTTGAATATTGTGAAGAACCACCAATGTTTTTACTTCCGTTATCGAACTTAACATAAACCCCTTTTCCATGGATTCCATGGCTGAAATTCTTTACGACCTGTACACCTGAATCATTCACCAGGAAACTGTTGTCAAGTGCTCCTAATGCCAGACTCTGTATTCCACCATCAGATGCTGCTTCCTCGAATTCTTCCAGCAAATCATTGCTACCTCTCTGTGGAGTTGTTTTTGTTGGAGTACTCCTCCATAACTCATCATCATCTTTCTCCCAAATGGAATCATCTGCAACCTCTGGTTTCGCCCACACCATAAAATCCTTTCCGTAAACCTTCACCTTATTCTCATCGGTAGCCTTCAAGCCATACACGTTCTCAAACAAACAATTCTGAAACCTAGTTAAAAACTCACGGTAATCCTCATCTCGGACAAACTTCATCGCCCACACTCCGGTATCAACGAAATCAACACGACGCTGATCTCCAAACATTTTCAATTGCATATCAACCGATACCCTAGCTCTAATCTTAGATCCTACTTTCAAAATCCAAAAACCCTCGCTACTCTCATCATCATCATCGTCATCATCAAACTCGTCATAATCAGCATCTTCAATTTTACGAACTTTAACAAACTTATAACTAGTAATTTTTTCAGAAACAATCCACTTAGCTTTAGGAGTGTTACCACCGATATGAAGGTACAGCTTCACCGCGTTCTTCAAATTAGGGTTTTCCACAGAAGAGTATTTCAGCTTAAGTGCTTTAAGCTTTGAATCGAGATCATCCACGGAATTAATCGGAGCTTTTTTATGTTCTTCTTGCGCATCTTGATATTCGTCTTCTTCTTCTTCCTCTTCTGATTGTTCGTCTCTGTCTTCATAATCATCTGAATCCGAGAGATCAAGACCTTCACGACTATGAGAGCCACCCATCGCTACTGATGAAGATGATCAGAGATTGTTTTCCGGTTAACCAGGAATTGATCGCTTTAGGTATCAGAAATGATTCGAAAATTGAAAAAAGAAAGCGGATAATTTGATTGATATGATTGATTCGAATGTTTATATTTGTGAAATTGAGGACAAAATCGCGAATATCTCACAGAAATGGGTGATGTGTTCGCTTGCTTTATATGTAGAATAAGAATCCGAGTAGCTTTAATCTGACGCGTACACGTGTATACGCTTTGCTTCACAAGAAAGTAAACTATCATCGACATTGCATTGGTATCTTGTACTGTACAATCGTATTTTCACGGGTACAAAATTTATGGTTGCACCGCGTTTAACCCAAGTTTTTCCAGCCAAACTACCAAAAGGGTTACGCGGCGCCTAAAAATCACCCCAACGCTCTTGAGTGCCAACGTGGATACGTACCTTTAATTTTTAAAAAGAAGAACAAATTACACGAATGCTCCTTAAAGTTTTGTTTTTTTTCTAAAAATAGTCTCTACAAAACTTTTTTCCTTTAGATGGTACCTATGTAGCAAACATTGCACACAAAAGGCCTGTGACTAACTTTGGTAAACAGATTCTGTTAAATTTTGTTAATTGACAAAAATACCCTGTGTCTTGCACACATATGGTCCTATATATATATATATATATATATATATATATATATATATATATATATATATATATATATATAAAAAGAAAAAGTCAAAAAAACTCACTCCTAAAACATCTTCTTCTCCAACACATAGTGTTTCCCTTTTTTATCTATGGCTGTAAAAAGAATCACGAACAAAGAAATCTGGATGAAGGTGTGGTTCAAAAAGAAGCACAATATCAGTTTTTCATGGATCGCCATTTGTTATAGAAATGTTCATCGTCGTTTGTTACAGAACTGTTCATATCGTTATTCCCGTTCCCGGAGCTAAGTTCGAGGAAGTTACAGGTAGAGGACTTCTTCTTCTTGAACTTTCTCTTTTATTGTACATGTGGGATTTCATATCCTCTACCGGTATCGGTTATGTTGATGGTGGTAAAGGATGGTATGAGGATGACGAAGGCAATACCGATCATTATTCCGATTAGGGTGAAGAGGAGACGTTGTTCTTTGTGGATGTAATTGATGGATCTTGGGAGATATCGATGGGTGGATGAAGGGTGTTTAAGGGATTTAGGTGAGTAAGGTGGGGTTTGACTAGTCAGCATTTCTTCATCTCTCCTTTGATTTACATTTGATTATTTATGTAACTGCTTCATGTTGTTCATTGTGATTGGATCTTTGATTCAAAATTATGTTTTTTTTATAGTGATGGGTGTATAAATGATGTTTATGCTTTCAGTTGTTCTTTCAAGTTTGTAAAATGCTACAATTAACAAAGGGAAACATGTTTGATCTTATTGCCCACCAAGTGTTTGATCTTTTGTCTGAATGATCTTTCCATGGTGCAAAGTTCTTAGTTACGACTAAAACACAGTTTGCCCACAAATTTCTGTTTAAGCCATCAATTTGGCTTTTAAAATTTTGAAGCAATTGAGAAAATCCCTAAATCATAACCTGGTGGTATTGGGAGAATGCTTGTGTGTGTGAGAGAGAGGGGACCATCTGTGTGCATAAAACAAAGGGTATTTTTGTCATTTAACAAAACTTAACAGAATCTGTTAGCAAAGTTAGTTACAGGGGCCTTTTGTGTGCAAGGTTTGCTCCGTAGGTACCATCTGAGGGAAAAAAGGTTTTGTAGTGACTACTTTAGGGAAAAAAACAAAACTTTAAGGACCATTCGTGTAATTTGTTCTAAAAAGAATTACAGAAAATAAAGTTATAAAAATATGCTAAATCCAATTTAAAGATGTAAACAACTAAACATCACTTTCATGATCGCAGACTAAACACTGTTACAAAAATTTTGTTGAAAGATTAAAAAAAGAGAAATAAAATTGCTTTTTACATTTCATGCCTACAAATATTCTACCCACTAATATTATTACAAGTGTCATCATTCCATTTTTTTTAACTATCTCATTAAGAGTATATTAGGAATATATCAAATCAAATTGAATTGATTGGTGAAATGATGACATATGTTATAATATTAGTGACTAGTAATATTTGTAGACATAAAAAGTAAGACAATTTAATTTCTCAAAAAGGTTGTTTTGATAGAAGAGGATCGTGTGGTCACAACGAAAGGTGGTGGAATCCTTTTGAATATAAGATTGTTTTGAGTAAAGGTTCTATGTATCGAACAAAAAGTGATATGTATTATCACGTTTATACAAGTTGATTAGTTGAATTTTGGGCGTAGGCCTAGAAAGTATGTGATTTTGTGTTGCTTGTGGTTATGTTGTTATCATTTGTCTTTGTAAGGTGTTGCAACATTTTTTAAGGGGGTCGTGACCCTTACGGGGTCCAACCATCCAAAGGGTAGCGCCCTTAGCAGGGTCCAAGGGATAGCACCTCTGGGTGTCTGGCGGTGTTCCAACTACAACTAGTTTAGTGTAAACGGCCATTTTATCAATATATATATATATATATATATATATATATATATATATATATATATATATAGGAAAAGTGAATATACATTACAGCCCCACCTAAGCGTAGGTACTAAACCTCATGAAAATACGTTGTTTTACTATAAAAAGATCGGGGTTAGGGGATTCATATGTAACACTGGAAGATGTAGATTCAAGATCGACGCAATAGTTTTGAACCTCAACCATATATATTTCAAGTCTGGCGCTCTAACCCTCCGACGTACTGGCACGACATGCCTGTTATAATCATAAATGATTATATAGCGTCACCCGTTCCTTTCTCCTCCGCCACCATCCCCACCACCACAACCACCACCGTCACCACCATTACCACCACCTCTGACACCAGCCGACCACACCACTGTCATCTCCGTCACTTATACCACTGTCACCTCTGTCAACATCACATTTTCTACCACCAACTATCATAATCATATATGATTACTCAGTCTGTGAACAGATATATATGTATAATCATTTATGATTACGCATACACTGTTGTTGTCGGTACACTGGAGCGTTAGAGCGGCAAATGAGAAATGTATGGCTCAGGTTGAATCTCAAGATCTCTACCTTTTTTAATCTCAAGTAAACTATCCCCTATATATATATATATATATATATATATATATATATATATATATATATATAGATATATAGGGAAAAGGGAATATACATTACAGCCCCACCTAAGCTTAGGTACTAAACCTTTTGAAAATATATTGTTTTATTATATAAAGATTACGGTTAATGGATTCACGATTAATACTTCAAGATGTAAATTCAAGATCGACACAATAGGATTTCGGGTTTAGGGTTTAGGGTTTAGGGTTTAGGGTTTAGGTTTAGGGTTTAGGGTTTAGGGTTTAGGTTTAGGTTTAGGGTTAGGGTATAGGGTTTAAGGTTTAGGGTTTAGGGTTTAGGTCTAGGGTTTAGGGTTTAGGTTTAGGGTTTAGGGTTTAGGGTTTAGGTTTAGGGTTTAGTAATGTTCACTTGGGTGAAGTAATAAACGATAATGGAGGAAAGAAAACAGAGATGGTAAAACGATAATGAAAGAAATAAATGTTATGGAGGATGATATATTTACCAAGTGAAACCAAACCGAGTATATTTAGCAAGTTAAAACGACATATTTTAGAGGTTTAGTACCTAAGCTTAGGTGGGGTTGTAATGTATATTCTCTATCCCCATATATATATATATATATATATATATATATATATATATATATATATATATTGCATTTATGAAGGCAAGTACGATTTTTCCTGATCAATATTTGCATTCTTTCTGTTTCATAAATTTCACAATTCTCTTTAGAAATTTGGCTTTTGTTTATGTGCTAGAATCAAAGGTATCATTGTGGATTATCCTAAATTAAATTTCATGATACACAAGCATAAAGTCAAAATATCAATTCGGAAAGTGATCTTACACAATCGACAAGTAATCTAGATTTCCATAAAACCTATACCATGTTCGCAGTGTGTATCGAATCTAACAATTGAATTGATATTTTATGTTGGTTGTCATGGATGAGACAATCAGAGATATGACTTCGCAGTTCTGCAAAATGGAGAAGTATTAAGAGAATGACATTAGGCGCTTGCAGAAAAAGACTCATTTTATGTTGACTACATTGAAGGTGGTGTGTGTGTGTGTTGAGTACCCCAATATTAGAGGATATTAGAGATAAGACATTGGAACAAACCAGTATTAAAAGGAAATGCGAGAACAATGGCTATATCTACAAAGGTCATGTATTAAATAGTGGCGGAGCTAGTGTATAACTAGTAGGGTGCATGGCCCTCACTTGAATGTGGATTCGACCATATATATGGATATTAAATTATTATTATTGTTAATAAATGTTCTTATTTTGACTGTGTGATACCCAATATTTTGTCTTTTAGTCTATCTATTCTCTCACTTTGGTACTTAATCTTGTCAAACAGTTTGATTTTCTTCTACACATTTGATTTTTTTTAAAGAGAAATTTCAATAGGTTTTTTGTTACAGTATCTAACTGTTAGTATCTAATTGTTATTTTTTTATAGGACCCGAGTTGACTTTCATCCTAGCTACACCACTGGTCTTGAATGGTAAATGTATTTCTTTATTTGATATCTACCAAACTGTCGAAAGTGCAAAAGAATTGTTTGACACCCTTGAATCAAAAAAATAAACATTGTTGGAGATTATTCTAGCAAGAAGTTTATGGTTAGCGATTTTAATAATCATAAGATGATTGATTCAAGGTTTGTGATGGAACAATACAATGAAACACTTCTCATTTTGGGTTAATTCAAACTACACAATCTGAATATGGACGAATCCATTGTTATATCAAGTATGATGGTCAAATTACCCAATCCCTGAAAGATTTCAAACATGTTTTAAAACATCAAAAGGGGGAATTGGCATTGGTTCAAGTTGGTAGTCATTTTCGCATTGAAGAGTCTCTTTGGATAGAAGAAAATGAAAAGAAAAAAAAAGCAAAGTTGAACCTAGACAACCCTCTGTTAATATGGTTAAAAATAATCATACGAAATCCGGTAACAAATGGCATGGAAAAACATAAACAAAATGTTCCCAATAAATCCAACAA